TTGATATTCTAATATTAATTTTTTTGCATAATCTAATTTGTAACTCCTCAATCACCGAAAAGTTTGATCTCATTCATGTAACTCATTTAAATAATGTAACGCATAATTATTCAATAAAGACCAAGGCCAGGCCTCACTCTATAAAAAAAAGTTTGATCTCAGAAACTATATTATTGTCCGAAGCGTAGCGAGGACTCACTATTTTTGAGCAAACTTGAATGCAGGTCTATGCAATGTATGTCCGATACAGCCAATAAAAATTGAGAATTAACGGTTCCCGTGATGATCTGCAGTCAGTGTAACTCAATTTAACAGTTGACGGGTCTCGAGGTTACAAATTCATTTTTATCACAAGTGTCTGTTACTCTAGCATTGCACGATGACAAATTAAATGCATCAGCACGGCATTTAGTCTGCCAAAAATAACTTTACACGGGATAAATTATAGTTAATTCAGATATAAGTTAAACTGTAAGTAGCAAAAATTCACTTTACCTTCTGGCGTAACATATTGCAAGGGTTTAAAAAGAAATGCAGCAAAGTAGTTAAAATTTCAAAACATTAAATGGCTAATTTTTTCGCTTCGGACTTCTATCAGATTCAACTAGTTCACAGAAACTTACCACAAAATTACGCAAAATTACAACCCTAATGAAAATTCTAGTGTTACCGACAATCAAGGATGCAGTCGATGATATTCCAACCTTACAATTCCCCGGGGGATTTAAATTTTTCAAGCTATTATTTTTCACGCTTTTGTAAATCCCTTTTTTTTGATGTTGTTTTTTAGTATTGCTTTTTTTTTTTCGAAAAGGACTTTATTAATTGCTTTTAAGAAACAAAACTATTACGTACTATTAGTCCGGTCCGCTTATTTCACCGACGTTCATTTCGTAGACACTGCACTTCAACACAATTAATTCACCGACATATTTATTTCACCGACACTTATTTCACTGGCAAGTTTATTTCACCGACAGCTTATTTCACTGATAGTTTATTTCACCAACAGCTCATTCACCGACAAGGTAATTCTGGTCACTGTCGGTTAGAATTAGAATTAAGTTCGAAATAAACATGTCGGCGAAATATTGTGTCTACGAAATGGTGTCGGTGAAGCGATTCGGAATCCTATTAGTCTATGCAAATAGTTAAGCATATTTTAAGAATACAAATGACATCAAATCATGGCGTATTAAAATATAACATTCAGATATAAATTAAGGTTTTACTGTCTGTTCTATGCAGGGCTTATTATAAAATGACTTTATTCATAAACAAATTAGGCGAGACCAACTTAATTTGGTGGTTTACGAAAGGGGGAAAAATGGAACGTATACATAACAAATTTTATTAAAATTTTGTTTCAATCGGAAATTATCGGCCTGCCCTTGCTCGTCTTTTATGTTCGTTCATTTCTCTTCGGAACTTTTCGGACTCTTACAATTTCTAATCTTAATTCAGCCTGGCATAACTCACCGGCCAAAACATATATATATCACAAAATTTTTTTTTTTACTAAGAGAGAGGGGAGGTAATGTAAACCAGCAAATTGGCCTTATCACAAATAAAATAAGGGAAATTCTATCTTCACTCAGGTTAAAGTCACCTGAAATATAATCTTTATTAT